AGACCTTGCAGATAACTACGTTTCAACCTCCGGCTCACCCCGCTGTCGGCCGCCTCCTCCCAACTCTCGGCGACCTCCTCATCTTCCATTGTAATTCCCCTCCACCGCCAGCCCGCCTAATGCGCATGCGCGCGCCGCTCCCAGCCGCCGGAGGACCCCCTCGGTCTCAGCCGCTTCGGCATGCACATGCGCGGATGGCTCTTCCCGGGCTTCCTCTAGCACATGCGCACTTCTACAGTTCTGTTACCCGAACAGGACTTCTCCCTACGCGTGCGCAGGCAAGACGACCTTTCTCCCATGGGCTTCGGCGCATGCTTGTTTCCTTGCTTGGGCGGTGCACCCTGACCCATGCGCACTTGCAACGAAGGTGGCGCGGCACCGCATGTGAGTTGCTCGCCCAACTGCCTCGCTAGGCGGTTTGGGCAGATGAATGCAGAGCTGGGTATCAGCAGAAGATAAATGGCACCCTCTTCCCAGGCCATGGATGCGTTCTCCGAAGGGCCTCGCGGAGCATGGGGGACACAACCGAGCCTTCGGAGCCCCGTGCCCCGTCCTGTAGAACAGTTGTCCCCCTCCAGCACCCTGCTGAATCCTGCCCCATTAGGAACGATTGACACCAATGCAAAGCACGCCCCTTGGTCCCTACTGCTCCCTCCACACATCTCAACCAACCAGATGGCACCGGCCCACGGTGTCAGAGGGTGCCCATCTTTCCAGCAAGAGCAGCAGAGAAGCATAGCCTTGATCTGCATTTAGACAAGAGCCATCTACTGGGGCCACCATTCCCAGTTCCATCCCATAGCCTGGCCCCGGACAGGAGGGCTGAAAGGGATCTCGGGCAGATGACTTCTCCGGGGAGGGCTGGACTTGCTCGGCAATTCCTTGTCAGCAAGCTGCCAAAATGTTTCTTTTCCCTGTGCACATGCGCATACCTTTCTCTGCACAGATGCGCATACCTTTCCCTATGGCTAATTGCGGTTCTCCTGCAAACTGCACTGCGTATCTCTCAAGGCCGCTGGAGGAGTCGCTTAGATCATTGCTTTGGCTTTAGGCAGGCAGAGCCGTGGGAAGCCCGTACCTGTTTTGCTTTGGGTAGCAGTTAGTTCCCAGGCCTAATGGCGTGCGTGGGAACCATAGTAATTGGGTAACTCTCATATGAATGTACTATAACTGTTTTGCGCATAGTTCACCCCTCATTCCTAACAGTGTTCTTGTCCATGCATCTCCAGCTTCAATAAAGTAAAACCTTCTTGCAAGTGTGTGCTTCCATTGTTGCTGAGGGTCCTGACACTCCTTTTGCTTTCATTTTGCCCAGGTAGGGCAGTCGCTAGCCACATAAGGATGCCCACCCCTTTTGGCGCAACTGCCCTGATATAACAGGATATTTTTCACTGGCACCAGATTAGAGAATCTGGACTAAAAATTCCAAAAGAATTTCTCTGTTTAACACATTTAGCACCAGATATCTCTAGAATCTATTAAAGGCTTTACTTTTACCTTTTTATCAACCTTTAAATACGATAGTATATGAGATAACTGTACGTTCTGTTCTTTGAATTAAAACTGGCAAATCAGACTGAAAACCATCAGAGGCTGCGGTCACACGGAGCATTAGCCACGCTACTGAGACGGATGATAGGCGGATTTTCCGGGCACGATCACACCGCAACATCTGGGAAGCGTAGAGCTCTCATGGCGAACCTGAGGCTTCCCGCCGAAGATGCGGCGTAAAAAACTATACCTCCAATGTACTAGTTTCTGGAAACCGCGGGGCAAGGGCTGGCATCTGATCGCGTTTCCAGTGGTAGTTCGTGGCATCCGGCGCCCGCCCATGTCCCGTCGCAAACAGGTTCCCCCCCCCAAGTCTCCACAGGATGCGCACAAGCACCCAACGGCGCATGCGCACAAAGAGGAAAACGAAAGTTCCGTTACTGCGCAGAATCGCGCATGCCGTTGAACATGAAACCAAAAGTTCCACTCCTCCGTCCTTCAGCTTAAAAGAAAATAAATGACCCCATTTGCCACGGCAGCGGCGCCTAGCCATTGCTGCTGTGATCGCGCCGCTTATTTGCCGCGCTGCATGATCGTCGTGTGATCGCCAGCCTCGTTTACCCACCGGCGCCAAGGGAAGGACCTGTGGTGTGCTGCCGGCGTGTCTGATCGCGTAATCGCAGATCAAACTGCGCCGGGGCAATTAGCCACGCCTCCCCCCTGCGATATCCGGCCCGTGTGACCGGGGCCAGAGACTTCTTTTATTTTTTTTTATAAAGATTTTATTGACTCTCCTAAAAAGGAGGGGTGTTTCGCTTAAATAGAAAAATAGGGAGGGTATATAGTGGGAGAAAGAGAAAGCTGAGTGATATATTAACTGGTAAATTAAACTGTTAGTAGTGTCCAATCAATCTTCTTAGGCTTCTTCTGTGAGCAGTCAAATTTCTTTTTTCAATCCGGTTACAAGTATTATCTATGTTAGTATGTTAGTAATGTTCCTTTGAATTTCTGTTAAAAAGCTTCTTCAGAGCGCCTTCAGAACCGCTTCTTTGCGTGCTGGTTTCTTTTACACTCCCGATAGCATGGAGGAGCTTCCTCTGTTTTCTTCTCCCTCCGGCTTTTTTCCCCCATCCTCCTTTGGGTCGCTGTTAACACTTTCAGTTCATGTGCTATAAATCCTCTTTCTTTCCTGCCATTTCAGGAAAGCTCCAGCTTTGAGAATGGTATTTAATTCAGGTTTCGCTTTTATACGCTCCCAATCTCTCCGCTGGAACCTCCTCCGCAACTGTTGACTTTTAAAAGCGCTTATAAGGCACTTTCTCGCTGTCACAGTTCAACTTTTCTCTTTTCACAATTCCCCGTCAGATTCACAGCCATAAACAGTCCAAGCAGTAATCAGCCGGCTCTCACCCATAAGCAAA